ACATTTTTTCCTAGGGGCAGTCTTTTCAAGTTAATTTCCCCTACTTTTCAACATTTACCAAACATCTGGATCTCTTTGAATTAAATTTAAAAGTATTACTTTAGATAAATTAAATTAACATCACATTTTGGTTGATTACTTCCTAACAATCCTTTTTGACATTCAAGACATTAATAATTGCTGAAATGTGAGCTAAAATTATTTGATATTTGGCTTTTGAATACTATTTCACTTGTGTTATTAAAATTAATGACATCTTCTAATTGTATATTCTACCTGTGCCCTGGATATTATAAATTTTAATCTTCTCTATATGGCTTCAAAAACTCAGGAGCTTTCTGGGTTAAGTTGAAATTGGCCCTGGACATGGAGGGCAAGGAGAGAGATTGGTATGTGGCAGATTTGGCAAGTAAAGTAATTTCTGCATGAGACTTGTTATGGGTGCCCACAAGATAAGTTAATCTCTGCATCTGACTGACAGAATCTTAAAAGTTTGTGTAGAGGCCTTAACAGTGTTCAGTCACATACTCTGTCTAATGGTCTCAACAACACTTTACTTTCTCAAGGTTTTGTCCTTGAAACAACTCCTAGTGTGAGAATGGTGGGCAGAATGCACACTCCAAGGACAGGAAAGAGGATGAGGAACTTCTGATTGCAAGGGTCCAGCTCAGGGGTCAATAGGGGGTCACAGCCTTTTGATAAACTCCTCCAACACTTTAAGTTCTCCATCCATCATTCATTTTCTTTTCTCTTTCTAATGATTCCCATCTCATCTACGCACATGCTCAAATCTCTATATAAAAAAATAATAATAATAATCCCACAAACTTCCCTTGGCTCTGTGCTTTCTATTTGGTGATTTATTCTCCTTGTTGCTGGACTTGTAAACCTCTTGAAATATGGTTTCATCATAATCTAAACTTCATTGATTATTTACACTACCAGAAATACCCATGCCTATTCATTAAAAGCATTCTTGCCAAAAATAAGTGGAATTATTTTTAGGTAAGTGACCTGAAAACCACAGACATTCCAACATGGCAAGTATATTTTAGCATATGGCAAATGCTGGCCACCACATGTTTTCATCTAACCCAGAGGGCCAGCTCTGGCTATAGTTAATCTCTACCAATCTAGTACTATGGTCATGGAAATTTCCAAAGAGAAAGATCTATTAGTGAGTGTTGTCTATGTGGTAATATTATACTAACCAAGAGAAGAAACCAAGGATCAAAAAAAGCAGAAGTTACAGAACTTACTGAGTATATGGTATACTTCAGGTGTAATCAATCATGCTTGTAACTAGCATCCTACTTTGTGGATAATTCCACAGTCCCAAGCTATGTCCTAATGTTGATTTCTTTGTACTTTGCACTAAGTATGCACTGGTTCAGGAGTTGATACACAAGTCCTGTATTTCTCTATTGGGTATCTGTGCACAAACTGGGGCCTCACTTTCTCTCAGCAGACTAGCCATACCACGTACATGAGATGTACATATTTTAAGAAGAATTTCACATTGTTCAAATAGCACATCCCTTATATGCAAGGTAAGGTAGATCCTTTTATGGAGTAATAACTTAAATGTTCACAGAGCAAGGAGTATGGGAAAAAAAAAAAAAAACATAACCCTTAAGTGGAAAAAAGAAAAAAAAACAAAACCTGGAACATACTGGAGATTTAAGTTATCCCTTAATACCAGAGCTATAATATGATAAAGTGATACAATCCTGAATGAAACTAAATTTACAAAAAACAGTAAATACAGGGCCTGTTTTCAGCAGTTTAACAAACGCTTATTAAATTAAGTGATAATTAATAGTTGAATAAATAAATTCTTAAAACATTAACCAGCAGCTCACAAAAAATAAAAAACTACTATGAGAAGTTGATCTGTTATTCAATTTTACAAGAGTCATAACTTTCTCTTAGTCTTTTCTAAAAATGTTACTTACCACATATTATTAGTCATCTTATCATGTGATGCTTTAAAATAACTTTGACTAACCACTATGGACATTCAACACGGGCAGCAATATTCACATTCACACACAAATGAGTACACACACACACACACACACACACACACACACACACACACACTTCTTTTTAAAGTTTTGTAATGACAGATCACCCTTTCAGCATAGTAATTCAGGGGGGAAAATGCAATTACCTTAAAGTCAAAAGTTAAAATGCTTTCAAAAGCTGTAAGAGTGTAAATTGCTCAATTATCAAGTGTTAGTGAAGGGAAAGTTCCCATGAAAATCATAAATCTTCATTCCTTAATTAATTTTATTTGTCTTGATATGAATTGACCCACTTTGTAAAAGTAAAACTCCATATCTGTTAAACAGGAAAGAGCAAATAATTTCCACCTGTCGTTAGATATAAATGGAATCACGAATTGGTGCAAAATGCTATCTATTGATGTGGTAATACTGACAGGGTGGTGCAGGACATAATTACTTTAGAAATAGCTTTGTTAAGAGACTAAAGAAATGATATCTTACCTTAAATGAGACTTCCGTAATCACACTTCCTCTTTGGAAGTATGAAGACGTTTGTAAAAGTCTATTAGTAAGTCATCATATTACACAGGCCTTAGATTTGATTTTTTTTTTACGTGAAAACATGGTTCACTTCTGAAGAGAACCATCACTGTATGTATTTTCCTATCACAGTTGTTAGATTTAATGATCTGACATCTAAATGGCACAGGTGTGAAAACACAGTAATATTGCACATCTCATGTAAGAACAGTTGCAGCAGACTATTTGCAGTACTATTTCATCAGCGAGAGTGATTTGATGTTCATCACAATCATTCGAAGAGGTAAGAGTGACAGACATTCTTATTAACCACAAAATGATAAAAGATTGATTTCAATCAATATCACAGCCTAGTACATGAAACACGTTCTGCCAAAATACCAGATGCAAAAGATTCTAAATCCAAGATCAGTGTGTGCTCCATCCTCAAAGGATGCAGTCATACTGAGGTAAAAAATGTCACGTGAAGCATTAGCTGGGATCTTTTCCCATAAAGTAAGCACGGCTTTTGCTGTGATAAGATCTTAATATGTATTATCCCACATGTAAAACAGAGGATGCTTCCCTCCCATTATAATTCGGCTCTCTCTTTATGGGAATTATCTAAAATGATCGCATCACTAAGCAGATCAGTGGAAAGAATCAGGTCCAGTAGGGAAAAAAAGCATTCTTGGCTTGAAAACTCCCCTCTAGTGCTAGAAAACGGTACACAGCAGTCGAAGTTAAGAATCCAGAAACTGGAGATTTGCTGAACATAACGGAAAAGAAGATGTGATTTTTTTTTTTTTTTAATGAGAAGGCGGTTAATAACAGCAGAGTTAAACCTAGAAGTTAGTCTTCAAAATACAAGCCATTAATAAAGGAGAAAATATATTCTGGAATTGATTTTCAAGTACATGGAAGACCTCTTTTTGATACAGCAGTTTCTATAGCAGGTGGAGGCAATGTCCCCAGATCTCGTCACTGAACGAGCGGATGTGCCCCTTAGTTAAATTACTTAAGTGGAAGCTTCTACTTTGTGTGTGGCTAAGCTCGCAGCATTCCAAAACAATTTGTCAATTAACTGCTTATGGCTTGGGAAGAGTAAACATTTGCCTTTCAATTCTGAAGAGAACTTCTGCTGGAATAATGGAAATATTTGTAAGAAAAACCTACTCAGGTAATTGCCTTTCTAGAAATAATAATGAAGATGTATAAATTAAAGGGATTCTCAAATTGATTTTGATAATTGAATGAATAAATGATGCCACTGAATGAGGAGGTTCAATATTTCTGGACAGCCATGCACCTGGGTTTTAGAAATCTTGAAACCAGTCAGGTATGCTGAAAAGACCAAGCAAACTATTACCTGCTTGGCATGGTTGGATTTCCACGTTTTGGTCATGTAGAGTGTAATTTAAAACTGTAAACACATTTGCATAACCTGCTCTATTACATTTTTCCCCCTCAGTATGTAAGGTGATTTTCTAGCTGAGCAGTTTGAGAATGAGCTTCAAAATACCGGATGAGAAATTGAGAATCATGAAATGGTCACAGAATCACCCAAAAGTATGTCAGTTCTCTCTCCAAAGAGTGCAGAGAAATGTCTATAAGAGACATCATGTACTGTGAACTATAGAGGTGCTGAAGCCACTATGATTTCCATGTGCAAAGAATGACGTTTAAGAGGGAGAAAATATTTATAAACTACAGAATGTCTCTTTGGAAAAATGATTTGCTAGCATGACCTTCTACTGCAAATAGTTCTTTCTTTTTGAATGTACCACCAAATGTTTAATACCTTTAAGATAATTTTTGAAATGCATATTATATAACCCACAGATCTGGTAATATCTCCTCCACTTGTCCCAAATTAGTTTTGTTGTAGGAAACTCAGCTGTATACTGAGAGACTAGCTATTAAAGCATTGCATTGCTTTACAGTTTTCTTTAGTGAAGAATGAAGTTTTTAAATATATGTGTCTTAGTAAGCGTCAGTGAAGAAGGATGTAGAGATGTTAATGTATTTTAACAAAAATCAGGAGAGATGGGTATTTTCAGAATTTTTTGAAAATAAAGCATTAATTACTTTATAGTAAAAAAAAAACAGATCAATAAAGCCATTTATAAAATAACCAGTTGAACACCTCCCTAAACATAATTATTTCCATTTGAAAATTCAACCACGCTAAGCAAGGTACAGGAGTGGTTAAAACATTTCTTTCCCTCCCCTTTTAATTCAACCTCTCGCTCTCAAGACTAGAGACTTGTTTAGAACTTACTGAAGTTTCCCAAAGCAAAACCACGCACCAGTTCCTAATTCAGATGCCAGGTCTGTGTGCAGCCTCATTCAGCTTCTGAGGACGCCAGGCAACACTTTATTAATCATGTATGAATTTCTGTGCGTATATCCTGAAGCGATCACACACGATGCAATCCCAATAAAAAAGAAAAAGAAAAAAAGGAGCCTTACCTGATGGCAGAAAAGGCAGCTGCAGGAACAGAATCAGAAGCAGCAGCAGCAGGATGCAATAAACCAGCCTTGCACCGAAGGTGAGACCCTTTTCTCCTCTCCCTCTCCTTCCTCTCTCTCTCTGTCTCTTTTTTTCTTCTAAAATCACTGTAGCAACAAACTGCCTTGCATTTCGTCCTCTCTCATTCACAGAAGATCCTCCAAGCCGGGCAGCCAGCAGACACCACTTTCTTCCTGGAAGCGGTCTGCCTCTCTTCTCAGAAACGCCTGGACCCCTCTCTGTGGCTCCCTCCACGTTTACCCTTCGGATCAATAATGCTCGCGGAGCGGCTGGAGCTCAACTGCAGCGGCGAGCGGCCAGCCAATGGGGGCCCAGGATTCCCTCCCAGTCATCTCCCCGCCCTCAAAACAAAACACAGCGTGCCTTTGACACATCACCGAGTTGTGAAAAGTAATTGAATCTTGTATTCGAAACGTATCGTGTTTGTTCTTTTTCCCCCCTAGCGTTCATTGTACAGTGCTGTGAATGCATGGAAGGACTCCATAGTTCTCAGGACACTCATTAGAGGAGCTTAGTGGAGGGGGAAGCGTGGGCGCGGGCAAAGTGACAGCACCTGGTTTCCTTTGCACCTGGAGCTTTGCTATTAAAAGGCTTTGAGGACTGTTGAAAATCAGGGAATTGGGAGGCAAAGGCTGGAGTCCTGCTTCTCACTCCGCTAAGTAGCTTGATTGTTTTTATCTTGTGGAACCCGAGGATAAAGTCCATTCCACCTGGAAGCCATCTCCTTCTCGGAACGTGGTCTGAACAAGAATCAGTTGCTAGTTGGTGATAACCTTAGCCAAGAAATTTCTACTAATCCATTTACCTGCTTCTGTGCTGGCTGAACCTGGTCCGGTTTTTATGAGGAGCTAAAATCTGTTCAGGTTATATGTTGGGCTTGTGTCTTTAATTTTGCATGTTTATGTCTTGTAAGATTACTTTAATTAATATTAATTTGTGTTAGGAAATCTCTTAGTGATTACTTGCAACGATAGAGGATATTACAAGGATTTTCAAAATCTTATAATGAAAAGGAGCACTATTGGAAACAATACTACTACATCCGTCCAAATTCCATGATAATCGTTCTTTACATTTTTGTTGATTCACAACTTCAGGAGTTCCTGTGGATGAAATTTGAAACAAACCATATACACTGAGGGCAAGGAGAGACCAAAGCAAGAGTCTGGCTGCTCTGGATTGATAGGCGGCAGCGTTAATAAGAGAACTTAAATACAAGGCTTGCCTTAGGTGGCCACAGACTAGTAGATCTCAGCACCTGCTCTCCTAGAATCTTAAACGTTTATGTGAAGGTGTTGATGGGGTTCACCTATGTATACAGCCCAGATGCTCTCAGTAACACATAACTGTCTCGAGCTCTTGAAGTGGCTCCTAGTATGGGAACAGTGCACCTAATGTACATTCCAAGGATGGGGGAGGCAGTGAGGAGCCTCTGATTGCCTGCGTCTGGCTTCCTGGTCAACTGGAGGTCACGTCCTCCTATTGACCTTTTCCAACAATTTCACTATCGAAGTACTAAGTACTGACATTAAGTTCATGGGAATCATTTATTTTCTCTCCAAGAATCTGTCACTTTATCATTTATGAGTCAAGGATGCAGCAATATTTGGGATAATCATTCAATCTAAGTATATCAAAACCCTCAAGAGCACAGTATCTCTGCTGTTTTAAACATATGTATAAATACAAGGAGCCTTGGTAGCTCAAACAGCTGCACAAATAGGAATGTCTCTTCAATGTAATTGTTGAATGAGAATAAAATTAATGTGTCTTTCTGAAATCTCTTTGTTCCACTGAAGTAATACAAATGGGTTGATGCATTTGGTGTAGCCAAGCTTTGTGTGTCGTGACAAGTTGAAATAGCTTGGGGAGACTTTACAAAAAAACAATTTTGTTACCTGTCCATCATGTGAAGGAGCCATGGAAAAGTGCGATATTTACAGCACTGTATGCTGTGTTGCTATAAAAAGGTGAAAGCTAACTTTATTGTAACTCACTCATGTAACCAGTAAAATTTTATTCAGGACGTTCTCTGGTTAACAGTAGTCACATGGCTTTTGTGAAGAAAGGAATACACTAAAGAAATGATCATTATAAACGTTTGTTTTATTTCTTTTTTTTTTTTATTTTTAATGTTGATTTATTTTTGAGAGAGACAGAGACAGAGTGTGAGCAGGGGAGGGGCAGAGAGAAAGGGAAGGGGAATCCGGAGCAGGCTCCAGGCTAGAAGGCTCCGGGTAAGCTGTCAGCACAGAGCCCTGCCAGGGGGCTTGATACAGGAAATCACAAACAGTGAGGTCATGACCTGAGCCAAAGTCTGACTCGTAACTGACTGAGCCACCCAGGCACCCCTGTTTTATTTCTTAATTGCATAATAACAAAGGGGGACCTGGGTGGCTCAGTAGATTCAGGTCATGAGCTCGCTGTTCATGAGTTCAAGCCCCACATCTGGCTCTGTGCCGAAAGCTCAGATCCTGGAGCCTGTTTCAGATTCTGTCTCCCTCTCTCCCCCCTTCCCCGCTTGTGTTCTGTCTCTCTCTCAAAAATACATAAACATTAAAAAATATATATAATAACATGTATTCATGTATTTGAATTCATTTGTTGATCACAAATAACAAGTGACTGAATATAGATTATTCTCTTTGTTCTGCAGCTCAATGGTTTTCAGTGTGTTATTCCCAGACCACTAGCAAAGGTATCACCTGGGAACTTGATGAGACGGCAAATTCTCAAGCCCTTTACTATTCCTATTGAATTGGAAACTCTAAAAGTGGTATCCAGAAATCTATGTTTTAACATCCCTTCAGATGATTCCAAAGCACACTCAACTCTGGGGGTTGTTGCTCGAAGGAAGGTATGTGCAAACTACTGCAGAAGACCAGCACCTATTTTTGTATCAATAAATCGATAAATTATTTATTTATCAATAAATCGATAAATCAATAAATCGTTTTCTGAGTTTGAGCCCAGCATTGGGCTCTGCACTGTCAGCATGAGGCCTGCTTGGGATTCTCTCTCTCTCTCTCTCTTTCTCTCTCTCTCTCTCTCTCTCTCTCTCCCTCTCCCTCTCTCTCTGCCCCTCCCCTACTTGGGCTGTCTCTGTCTCTCTCAAAATAAATAAATAAACAGAAAGGAAGGAAGGAAGGAAGGAAGGAAGGAAGGAAGAAAGAAAGAAAGAAAGAAAGAAAGAAAGAAAGAAAGAAAGAAAGAAAGAAAGAAAGAAAATTCTGTTACCCACTGCTGAGGGCATTGGGCATTACAAGATGTGCTATATAATTCATATTGGTGCCAAGAGTTGAGAAAACAGTAACATTTGAAGATGGGGTGGACAAGATTCGATTAATGAAATCAGTGGGATTTGGAATCGATTGGAAATGATGATATGGTAACTTACATTATTCTATGTCTTCTATAGATTTTTCCTACTCCACCCTGGTGGACGGATACACTTCTCCATTCTAGCCTTGGTTATATGACTTGCTTCAAAATATGGATAGAGAGAACATTATCATGTTCAAGCAGAATACTGAAGAACAAGTACAGTTTGTGCTCATTTCATGCAGAAGCTTTTCCTTCACCCTGGGCTGTTAAATGAAGAGAACAATGGAGTCTTAGCTGTCCTAGGATGGACATGTGGTTTGAGAGGTTAATAAAGCTTGTATTTGTAAGCCACTGGGATTTTTAAGGTCATACGTCACCACATGGGAACCTGATCTATCCTGACTAAAAATAAGTAAGTAGAATTCAAAGTAATTTGAAGTGAAGAAGTGCTAAAGCAAAAGTAATGACTGGGACAAGGCATTTAACTGGAAACTCAAAAATCATTTTTGAGGAAAGAACAACAAAACTAGTAGAGTTTCTTTAAGGAAAGAATGGCCTGAAAAGTGGGAAATAAATATTAAAAAGAGTTATGACAGCAATTAAGGCGAAGTTCTTTAGCAATGGGGAGCCATGGAGACTGTTTAGAAGAGGAATGGCATCATCAAAATTGTGCGATAAGATGATTACTCTGTTGGCAAGAAAGAAACAAAAAGACAAAGGAAAATTCACCACAAGGATGTGAAAAATCAAAACACGATGTAATATGGGCCAGGGACAGAAGTATTGTCACCCTTACACCTGTATTCATGAGTTAACAAGTTTCATCAACCTGACTTCCTAAATATCACTTAAATCATCATTTATTGTTTATTTGGTCCACAACTATTATCGTTTCGGTCCAGGCTTTTACCCTTCCGCCCTAGACATTTGTGGCCAATTCTTAATCAGTATCTCTGTCTCTTTGATATATCTGTTATTAGTCTACAATAATTGGTCGACTTTGCTTCACATCTTTAATTCAGGATTCACCTAGGCTGATGGGACATTCCCAATCTCATGGAAGAGGGAAAGGAGATACAGGAGAATCTCATTCAAATAACAAAAACAACAATAAGTGTTGCTCAGAAGTGATGAACATCACTTCTGTTTGTATTTCTTTGGTCAAGGAATGTCAAGGACACAATACTAAGTGTGATGTCAATGTAACCAAAATGCATAGTCTTCCTAGTGGAAAAGAAGCATAGGGAGGGCCAGTGATTATTTTGAAGAATAGTGTGGTCTACCTCATTCTTCTCTAATGCTAAAACAACAAAATCTGAGGTTACCTGCCAGGAGGTTTGCATATCTAGGGTAAAGATCCTTTACCTTCCTTTATCTTTGTTTTGTCATTTCATATGTAATGCTTGTTGTTAAATTGACATGATTTCAAACCTAAAGAAAAACAATGTAAGAAATCGCTTAAGCGTAATGTAGAGGACTCTATTAGGCTATAGATGTAGGTGGCAGAGAGAAGAAAATTCAGAGTGTTCAGTGTTTTAAATCTTGTAGAGTGTTTATCCTTGCTTGTATTTTATTTATTTTTAATTTTTTTAATGTTTATTTATTTTTGAGACAGAGAGAGACAGAGCATGAATGGGGGAGGGTCAGAGAGAGGGAGACACAGAATCTGAAGCAGGCCTCAGGCTCTGAGCTGTCAGCACAGAGCCCGACGCGGGGCTCGAACTCACGGACTGTGAAATCATGACCTGAGCCGAAGTCAGACGCTTAACTGACTGAGCCACCCAGGAGCCCCGCTTGTATTTTATTTAAACCAGAGGAGGAATGAAAGGACCATGTGCACATAGCATATGTACCGGTTGATCAACCAAAACCAGTGTAACAGGGCCTGATCAAAGTGGCCCCTGTGAGCAACATGGCTTGCTTCCACTGGGATTTCTAGAGAAGTATACAGAATACCTCCAAGAGTTTTTCAATTAAAAGGCTACAAGCTTGTTTCCCTTATTGCTCTAGATTGTCACTCTTTTGAGATATATACACATG